TAAGACATACAACATGAATATATACAAATGTTAGCTATCCGTATATATTAATACTTAGTGGAATGGCTGCCATTTAAGTTTGTATTCATTCAACTTTTATTTATATTGGTTAGTCCCATTGAGCCTCGGAGACTCATTTACAAGAGAGACCTGAATTTTAACAGAGTGATGGCAACAACGACAACAATAGACAAAATATAACTGATATATAAACTAAGACAAATGTATAAACTAATGATACATTTGCCTGATTAAAAGTCAAAATAAACCTGTCATTTTCCCAGGTGTTGTCTTCTACTGATTCATGCAGCGTTTCTTATCTTACTGTTGTACGTTCAAATATTCATGTTCCCAATGCATTTAGTTGCAACTTGTTTCCTTCCATGTTCCAGTTTGCGTCAGCAAGAGTTGGCATGCCTAAGAACCCTCCCTTGCGTACCACCAACCTCACATAGCACCTGACCTTAAGAGTTTTCCTCACAGGTAATGGGCCCATGTGGAGTCTTGTTTATGTGTGATGATAAGAGCAGTAATGAAGGCATTGCTCCAGTCTGATGTGGTGAAGGAAGAGCTGCACTAGCATGTAAAACTCTGTTTAATGGCTCGTCTACATTCCAACTCTTACCTATTCTCATGAGATATATATCATGACCAAAACAACTGTGACTTGACCACAGAAAAGCAGCAGAAAATAAATGGATGGATAGTTTTTTTGATGTCTAAAAAACCTCAGTGTGGAGGAGCAGACAGGACTTTCAGCCCCACGTGTCTGGTGCTCAGACTCAGGCTTGAAAAATACAAGGTAGTGCCCACAAATCAGATGTTGCTTGCTTCAGTTTGGAGCTACAAAAGGAGGCGGAGACTTTTCATACATTTTTTTTATATTAATGGTGTCATTACACTTCACTGGGTTCTTCTCTCTACTTCCCACTAACTCGCGTACACAAATGAATCGGTACATTGAGCCAGCTCGGTCATGAACAGCTCATCCTTGCTTTGTTTTGAGATCAGATCAGTCCAGTCTGCTGTTAACAGCCATGCACTGGCACATTGCTATTGAATCAAACACTTGGAACCAAAACCAATAAAAAGCACTTTAAATTACAAGATGAAGCAGAAACCATTCAAATTAAAAATTTCACAAACTAATATAAACTTTAGTGTTATATACTTTGTAACTACAGCAGTTACCGGTAATAGAAACCATTCTTTGCAATGACACAAATAAATACTGTTCATAAAAACTGCTATTTCAAATTATGTGGGGGAAAAATTACCATCATTCATTAAAATTAAAATACAGCAAATGAAAACAGCTTCAAAATCCAAACCCAAAATACAAAGTAGGTAATGTTTTACTTGTTTTGTCTGCAAAACACTGCTAAATAAAGCTGTTTAACTTATGTTTATTTGTTTGCATGTTGGCTAAGTAAAAAAAACAAATATGTTTGCTGTATTTTTGTTTGTTTTGTTGTTGTGCTGCTGACGTAGGGTATTTCAGGGCAGCAGCTGCTGATGAAAACCCCTACAGGTCCAGGATTCAGTGGACCATCAGAATGAAGAGGACATTACTGCGTGTGGAGTCTCTGTGAAGAACATGCAAAGCTGCCGTCTCTGAAAAAGAAGAAATGCAAGCAGTGCGTAAGCGAGTCGTCATTTTGATATTCTCTACCGCTCGGAGTCTAAAGCAGCTGCTCTGCCTGTTGGGCCTCATGAACCTACACCTCCTAACCAGCAGCCAATACGGTCCTGGGTTTAGGTTCCCTCCTGTGAGAGGAGGTTCTGTCTAGTTCATGGAGCTTTGAGCAGGAGCTGCTGCCTGTAACATTATCTCTGCAAGTTCTGCTTCGTATCTGTATCTAAAAAAGTTGACTTAAGCAACCTTTAATCTTCTCTGCAGTGTTTTGTGGGGCTGAATAACAGCCGGTTGTTTGTGTGCTCACACGTGCATGCTTGTGGCCTACGCTTGAGCAAACGCAGAGACTAACGAGCTTAAAGTTTGACCTGTTTTTCAGCTTGTTCATTCTGTCACGCCCGAGTCAAATAAGGTCACATAAACCAGATGTGTTCAGGACGAGTTTGTAGCGACACTGTGAGACAGATGTTTATGGGGTGCAGTTTGTAAAGTTACACAGTCAAAAATTACCAGCAATATTATGGTTTATTTATTTTTAAGAAAAAAGTTTTTTTATTTCAATGTCATATTTTCACCATGTTATTCATACATTTATAAACGTCATAGTTCCCAATTAAATATTTAATTTAAAAGGTAAATATTTAGTTTACAATCTAAATATTTATTTTCAAAACTAATTTTTTTTTCCAAACTAAATATTTATTGTCCAAGATAAATATTTAATTTCCAAACTAAACATTTAATTTTTAAGCTAAATATTTAAATCCTAGACTATTTAATTTGCTAACTAAATATTTAAGTCTGCCATAAATATTTATTTTCCAAGTTAAACATTTAGTTCCTAAAATAAATATTTAATTTGCTAACTAAATATTTAACTCTGACCTAAAGACCCTGAGCATGCATCAAGATATTCTGACCTAAATATTTAACTTGCAAGCTAACTATTTAGGTCCAAGTTATTTAGTTAGCAAATTAAATATTTTGGAAATTAAATGTTTAGCTTGGAAAATAAATATTTATGTCCAAGTTAAATATTTAGTATAAAATATTAAAGCTTAGAAATTAAATGTTTAGTTTGGAAATTAAATATTTAGCTTGGACAACAAATATTTAGTATGGAAATTAAATGTTTAGTTTTAAAATGAATATTTAGCTTGGAAATTAAATGTTTAATTTACACATAAATATTTAACTTGCAAGTTAAGTAGTTTGTAAACTAAATAATTAGCTTATAAATTAAATATTTAGTTGGGAACTATGACATTTATAAATGTATGAAAGACATGGTGAAAATGTGACAGTTTTTTTTTTAATGAAATACTAAATAAACCAAAATATTGCTCTTAATTTTTGACTGTGTAACTTTACAAATGGCACCCCATAGATGTCCAATACAGAAAAAAATGTTTAATGGTCTTACTCTGTTCACTTTAATGACAAATAAACCTACTAATATTTCACAAAACCTTTAAACTGTATACTACAGTATAGATACAGAGACATCAGATAAAATATTGTATTTGCTCTTTAGACTTTGTAAACAATAAATATTTAAATATGGCAAACCTGTTCACAGTTGAATATTTTAACAGTTGAACTTGTTAGTAGATGCCAATCAAAGATACATTTGGTAATACTTTGTGAGGTTGTGATGAT